GTAACACAAGTTTGTTGGAGTGGAAAACTAAGCAAGTTATATATACCAACAAGCCATAAATTATGCTCATTCCTCTCAACTGGCAGATCATATAAATAAAATAATCTGACAGATTTTCCTATTCAAAAGCCTCTATTGTGACTAAGTAAACTTTCACACACTTATGTTCTGACAACAAGAATCGTGAAATACAGGTGCGGATTTTAGTAGGCAATTTTGAGCTTAAGATCCTGATAATTGTATTCTTATAGCAAAGTGAAAGTTATCTAGAAAGCCCCCATGGGCAAGGTCTTCCATTAATTAAGGGCTAAGGCAATGTCAATTGAAAGTCATTAAGAAGAAAATGGAAAAATAAGCATGTCACATGTTAGATAAATAATTTTTCATATGGAGGAAGGTGGTCTGGGTAATTCCTAATTCATCAGTGTAATAATCTATTGCATCTGAGAATTTACATTGATCTCACAAAAAGCCATAAGATTGCTGTTATTAACATAATTTCACTTGATCATGGACACTTTTGCTTGAAGACTTTATGCAATAAAGCCAATGCATTTTTAACTCTGATAAATTATTCAAACATGTTTTCACATCTTAAAATGGCAGAAAGCTGAAATAATTCTATTCCAATTATGCATAAAATGTAAAAGTTAGAAACCTAAAACAAAGCGTCAAAATCTCATAAGACTAGAACAGTAACAACTGAAATATAATTTACTGCAGTACTTTTTTTTTTTAACAGGAAAAATGATTAGAAGTTAAGTTAGTATCTACTTATAATAAGGTTTGACCACTAATCAAGATATAACTCAGTGCCAAACCTGTTAAGTTACAGTGGCCACTAATAGCCACAACAGTGTAATGCAATTTACTGCAGTACTAAGCACAACAAATGTAATTTATACCAGCGAAAAAACTTCTTCTGCACCATTAAATAGAAAAATAATAGGCCGAGGGGGGACCCATCCCAAATCAGTGGTGAGTCTCACTATTTCCAAGATTGATGCTGCAAAAACATAAAAATTACAAATAGGTATTTGAACAACAAGGTACAAAATAGGAATAGCATGTTTCGATCTAATAGTATTAGATTTTGGATTAAGACTATTCACTTATATGGGGTGGCTGTTCGAGTTTTATGGAATTCATTTCTCCCCTCCCCATATATACTTATAAATAATGTTAAAATTGTTTAAAAAAAAAAACAAGGTACAAAAAAGAAGGGCAATAAATATCAATAATAAGAAGAAAATGCCCAATGTACCAACCAACACATGTAGCACAATCACCAGCACCAGGAGAACCAATAGGACCATCAAAATGAGCATTCACTAAAACTGAAGGATCACTTTCTTGTGAATCTGTTGATGAAACCCTGCCATTACATAAAAGTGAGAAAATATTGGAACTTTTCAAAAAAGTTTACAAGACGAATAAACTAGTGCTCACTATCTCCTAAGATAAAACAAAACAGCAGGATAAGCAACTTTCACTTAGCATTCTTAAGATTTACTAATATCATGTTCCCAAGTACTCTTTCCATGTAGGAGTGAGGGTTCAATTTTCTCCCCAAAACCAGCAACATAAAACAATGCCTAAAACTACTTTGAGACCATAACAGTATATGCAAAACAGCTATGACAGGTGCATGCATTATGAAGAAGTTAGTATCTCCATAAAGGATTTCGATTTTCCCAGTAATTTATACCTTTCATTATACCTCAAATTGATTTAATGCAATTATCCACTGAGCATTTCATGCAGGCCCTACTAAAATGTGGTCCCTGCCTGCATGCAAAGTGAGAACCTCAAATGATAAATTATGTAAAGGAAAGAGTAATTACGATGGTTCTCAATCCTTAAATGATGGGAATATCACACACAGTAAAGAAAAGGCAAAAAATGCAACTGCTAATCAGTTCCAGAACTTACCTCATTACAATATTTTTATGATTCCTGTACCCCAGTGATATGCTGTGGCTTAAAAACATCATATTGAAGGAGCCACCAACAACATTCTCTTCAATCTCAATTCTGCAAATCAAATAATTATGCCAGTTATTTTTAATAGGGGAAATTGCAATTTAGCTAATACTCAAAGTCTCAAAATCAAAATAACACAAAGCACCAACATTTCCAGATAGCATATCATTTAAAACTTCAAGCACATGGCTCCACAACAATAACCCGTACAGAATTTGAAGAATTAATTATGACCAACTGCATACCAGCCTAACATTGGGTCCTGCTCTTTCCTTCATCATTTCCAAGTTGTCATGACCGCTGTCAATGGAGGGATTATGCTTGGCCTTTCTCCATAACTTGATTTAAATTAAAAGGATTAAAATATTTATTATGTAAATAATTATTTTGATTTATGAAATTAAATTATTTAATAAACAGTTTTTATAAACACTTAAGCCTTTTGGTGCAGTGATGTCATGTTACTTATAAATGCATTCTCCCACCTCGATCAACAGTTCGAATCCAATTACTTGCGAGTTTGTTCAAAAAAAAAATAATAAATAAACATTTTTTATACACATATAACTATTAAATGAAATTATATTAATAGTTATTCTTCTTTTGCAAAGTTACGTAATTTTTAGCGATATTAAGCAAAATAATAATAATAACAAAGTTGTTTTTTTTTTTTCACACCACACACCTTCCTGGTTAATCGCCAAACTTGAATTCTCTAAACCTAAATTCTTATTTATTTTATTAAATAGCTGCTTTTTTTGGTAGCCGCCGCGCCTCCTCGCACCGTATCCCGTAGCTTCGTCGTCCCTCCTCTTTCAGGTAGCTCTCTCCTCCGTATGCCTCTGTTAACCGCACAATATTCATCACGAGACACAAAAATTCATACAAAATAATGGTAGATAGGCTTTTTCCTTTTTTTTTTTTTGGTCTAAAGCTGGAGAAATCGAACACTTTCAACTTTGTAAGCATAGGTTAATTGGGATTTAGGAAACTGTGTTGCTATGTTGAATTGATGATTTTATACATTTTAGCAGGAAGAGTTCTTGCTAATTTATAGTGCCTGAATTGGTTGCTTCCACCGTATAACTTTCACATTAAATTAGAGCGGACAACATGGCCGGCAGAGAGATGGTGAGGAAGGCGGAGCAGTTGGTGAAAGAAGCAATGAGAGGTAACGATGCATCACATGACGCCTGGCATGTGTGGAGGGTTAGGGATCTTGCGCTTTCTCTTGCCCACGAGGAAGGCCTCTCCTCCAACCCTGATTCTATGGAAATTGTAATTAATCCTTCCTTTTTCTTTTTTCTTTTTTTTTCACTTATTAGTTTTGGTTCTTCTTTATTTACCATATAGTTCTTTGAGGTACAAAATAACTGGGGAGAAAATGGAAAAAGCTAGGTCCTTTCCTGCTCAAAATTGGTTACTTATAGTCCGGGCTTTGTATACAGTGATTAACATATAGAGGATTTTCTTCATTTTCTTTAGCAATATGGTATTATTTTAAAGCTTCTAGAGAAAAGCTTGAATCTTGAATCTTGAATCATGAAAAATTTGAGTGTGGAATCCATCGTTTGATTGGATTCCCTTGCAATTTGGATAGACAGTTAGACGAGCCAACTCAAGAACAGTTTGATGTGTTGCTGATGTTTAATGCCTAAAATAGGTTTCTTTCAAAGATATTGTTGGGTCATCTTTGGTTGAAGTTATTCTTTATTCAATTCTAAAAATTGAGAAACTTTTTTTAGAAGCTAGGATAGCTCATAAAACACTAGTCTCCAAGGCAGCTTTACTAGAGTTTGGCTCGGAGTGTGCCTGCTGCCTTTTGTTGCAGTTTGTCCCTGTGATGGGGTTGTCTTTGGTAAGGGTAGGTTTTTTTTCCAACTTCAGTTTGGTGTTTCAAGGCAGCACAACCATTGCTCAGTTGGTTGGGGATGGGGTTGGTCATGGAAATGGTGGAGAGCAAGGGTTTTTGATTTGGAGTGTCTAGAAGGTGGAAGTTGTGTGGTGGAAGTAGGGCAATCTTGGGTCTTGATCACAAGGGATTATGGATTCAAGGGTATTTCTAAATAGAAAAAAGTGATGTGCGACATCTTATAACCATTGATATGGGGTGAGCCCCCTAACATTGGGGTGGTCTGTGCAGTCCATGCAGGGGGAACTGCAAAACAGCTAGTCCTAAATATTTGCCTACCTATACTTTTTGTATATTTCTTTTACGTGTTTGTAAGTTTCTTCATTGAACTTCCATGGCAGGTGGAGCTTTCTGCACTTCTCCATGATATAGGTCCTCTTTGATCCCTAGTCTAAAGTTATTTTGTTATGTGAACTTACTGATAATTTAAAATTGTTGTTTATTTCAGGTGATTACAAATATGTGAGGTGTGTAAAACTAATTCTCTCTTAAGTACTGTTTTTTAACAAACTCCATTGCCAATGCGATTATTGTGTTTCTTAACCTTTGATTGTAGATGAGAAAGATTTACGGTTGTTGTGCTCAATTTTCATTAACAATAAAGTAGGATAGCCCTTGTTCTGCTTTATGGATGAGTCATTAGATTGATAGCTTCTCATCCTTTACATAGTTCTTTTTGGAAGAGTGATGGTGGTTCATTTCTTTTCAGATGATTTTCTGTTCCCTTAGGGGAATTTGGTCATCATAATTTTCTCCTTTGTTTCTGCTGATATCTGAGCCTCCTTTGGCTTGCAGAGATCCATCTGAGGAGAAAGTTGTTGAGAATTTTCTAGAAGAAGTGCAAATCGAGGAAAGCAAGAAGATGAAGATATTGAAGATTATAAAAGGAATGGGTGAGTTGGAATGCATTTTCTTCTGAGCACAATACTCATGTAAATAGTTACTATTTAGTAATGTATATTCTTAATTTTCTGTGTATTTATACTTAAGTTTGGTGGTTTAGTTTACCTAAAAGGCAAAACCATGAGTTGCAAGGGCCAGCTAGTTTAAATTGTAATGATTTTGTACTTTCATTAAGTTTTTAGTGTTTGATATTCTTTACTCCGATCATCCCTTGTTTTGCAGAAACACTAATCAGATAAAAAAATTTTTCTTGATTCAATTACATAGGGATGGGTTATATTCCTAATGTATTTGTCAAGCAATACACTTAGGTGTCATGTTACTTTTAATTTCCAGGAAATTGTCCATGTAACAAACAACAGTGTAATAGGAGCTGTTTAATAGTATAGAAAATGCTTAAATGAAATGCACAGAGAAAACCTATAGTGGTAGTTTTGGTCCTTTTAGCCTGTCAAATTCAGGTTCCAGTTTTCTGCAGGCATGCAATTTCTCCACCCCTCAATAGAAACAAATACATGGAATTTTATGCACATACAATATCTGCAAGGATTTGTTAGTCATAATTTTGAACAATAATTTCCCCAATAGTTTGCCCTCGTCAAATATAAGGCTGTCCATGAAGATTTGTTTATATTTATAAACAAGGATACCAATAAGGTTATATTGATTTCTACTTGAGCTTTTGTTTGCCTTCAATATATGATTCTAGCATCAAAGTTATTTTTACTATAAATTCATATTAGCATCTTATTTCTCAACTTGAGTCACAAGGCAATCATTTAAGGGTACATTCATTCTTTTTTTATCAACTATTGATCTCTTGATTCTTTTAAGTATGCACGTGTCATATAATACTTGTCTTTTTGTGCACATTATTCTAGATGATCATATTAATATTATAGTTAAGACTGATTGATGTACGTTGAATTTTCAGGTTTTAAAGATGAGCTTGATGGGCTGTCAAACAATGAATTATACCCAGAATTTGGAGTTGTACAAGATGCTGATCGTCTTGATGCAATTGGTGCTATAGGTAACTCTGGGTGTTTTAAATGCTCTGATTTACAACTTGCAAGATGTCAGTTTCTAAGATGTATCCTCTTTACTCTTCTAAGTTGCTTCTTCATCTGAATTTTGATGAATTCTAACAAGCACGAACTTCTATTGGCTTCAATGTGTATTCTTTGTTGACCAAGAAGTTTATAATCCATAAATCCTTTTTGTTGTTTTTCCTAGGTACTGCTATACTATAGGGACCAATTGATCCCTGCAGCTTTTTTTATTTTTTCCTTTTGGGTTTGATAGTTTAAAATTTTTAATTTTAAGTCCTTTAATTCTTAATTTATAAATTTTAAACCTTTAACTTTAAATTTTAAACTGTAAACCCTAATAATATAAACCTAACATCCTAAATTCGAAACCTTTAAAATCTAAACCCTAACATCATCATAAATATTCTTAACCCTAATACCTTAAAAACTCAGTTTGTAAAATATAAATCCTAACATTGTAAATATTGAACCCTAAAAAATCTAAACCTTAACATGAGCATTAATCCTAAAAAAATTGAACCCTAACATCTAAAGTCTAAAAAAAAAAAAAAAACTATAAATTGTTTGAGAACTAAAATGAGAATAAATTATTGAAGGCGGGGACCAATTTCATATATTTTACCATAAAACATAGAAAGCAAATCAACGGATGTGCATGCATGTCCTCTGTTCGGCCTAGTATAGGCCTGAGGGGCTTTGGTCCCTCTATTATTATTCTTTTTGCCTCTATGGTTCATGTATGATTTGATATTATAGTTCTTGTATACTAATTACATACACTAGAAGCTTGCTTGTTGATTTTCATTTTAGCTTATTGATTTTATCTTAATACAGTTTGCATGTCCATCCTTGTTGCACTAAACTTTTAGCCTACAACACCAGGAATTGCTCGCTGCTTCACTTTTGGTGGAAACAGAAATAGGGTGCTTCATGATCCTGCTATTCATCCCCGATCAGACTTATCCAAGGAACAATACATGAAAAAGGAGGAGCAGACTACTGTGAATCATTTCCATGAGAAGCTTCTCAAGTTGAAGGATTTGATGAAAACAAAGGTAAACATAGCATGCGTACACAAACATCCTTGTATTTGTAATTGGATCACTGATGTCTATTTTAGCCTGTGTCCATCACACATAAAGATGGTATTGTAATCTTTGGTGTACTAACATTTAGCATTCATGGAAAACTTTAGGCTGGCCAAAGGAGGGCTGAGAGTAGGCATAAGTTCATGGAGGACTTTCTGAAAGAGTTTTATGAAGAATGGGGTGGGAGAGCTTGAATAAGGTAATTATCCATTTTGAATATTGACTTTCTCTATATTATAGCTTGATTAAGGTAATTTTCCTCTCCTTACATGTCTCATCTAATTTTGAAAGATACAATATTGAGAGCAGATGTGCAATAATGTTTCGTTTCTAATTGTCTTTTTTTAAGACATTTATATTGCTGAGTTGGTTCTTGTTTCCCAATTAGCCAGCCACCTTCAAGCTGCTGGGGGTTTTTTGGGGTAAATTTGTTTCCATTTTGCTTTGCTGATCTTTTCTGTACTAAAGACGGATAGAGAAAATTGGGATAAAATTAAAGAAACCCAAACGATGAAAAGATGAAAAAAAAAAAAAAAAAAAAACCAAAACCAAATTAAGGAAAAAGAAAATTTAAGCCCTGGTTGGGTTGGGAAGAATCCGGAAAAAAAAAACGGGGAAAAAAACCCCCCTTTTTTTTTTTTTAATGTGACATTTTTTTTTTGAACATTTTTAATGTGACATTTTTGTCCTAGCTGGTATTGAAAAAAAAATGTTTTGAATTGTTTCATAAAGGCGGATTTAATTTGTTAAACCAATCTGTAATTTTCTTTTTTCACATCTTCAATCAGCACATTTCCGATCCAAGTGATAGTAGCCTAGTCGGTAGGTTTTTCATTCTTTAGGCCAACCAAATGGTGGGGCCGCAGTATGTTTGTTCCTCAGTCCCTAACCGGTCAAGCAGGCCCTGATTCATGGAAGAAATCAACGAGTGAATGACACGCTTTTTAAGAAGACCGAAGTGGTGTACGAAAGCTAACATATTAGGTATCACCTAAATGGTATAACCCAAAAATAAAAAATAAAATAAAATAAAATAAACAAAGAGCAACAGAAGTAGAGGCACGTTTCTAATTTAAAGGTTAGTTTTCGTGTTTAACGACATTAATTTTAACGGATTATTTGGCTTAAAAAAAAAAAAAAACACCTTATTGGTGAGGCTTTTTTCCAAAAGCTACTTTTTAAAATCCCCCAGCGTCTTTAAATAGTTATAATTTGCTGGCTTATAAAACTTAAATGAAAAGTTTCATGAAATGCTTATCTAATATGAAAATGATGTAATTACAAGATGTTAATATTTATTAGTTAGATTTTTAATAAATTAAAAAAATTGAAAATTGTATCGTTTTAATAAAATATTTAGATTTTGTTTAACAACATTTTTTTGATTGATTATTTATTTTTTAAGTTTTTTATTATTTTTAAAATATATAAAATATTAATTGAAATAAATATTAAATATATAAATATATTGAGAAAAGTGTATATCAGTCTTGATTTTCAAAAATAATTAGGATTCTAATCTTAAAATATGTTGTTTCATTTAATTAAAACATAATTCAAAATTGAAAAAATTATCTTATTAAATGTTGATATATTAGAATATATAATGGATTTTCAAATTTAAATATCAACATTTAATAAGATGAGATTTTAATTTTTAGATATAAGTTGGAATTATAATTATTTTTTGAAATCAAGGTTGGACGCACTAACTTCAAATATATTTCATATATTTTTAAAATATGAAAAATTAAAAAATCGACAATTACAATTATAAATAGGGATATTAAACTAAACCTTAAACACTCGCTTCCTTCTTGATTCATGCTCCACTTACCTTCCTTGTCCATTGTTAACTGAATTTTTAGCGATAACCCTATTTTAGGTTTCTCTCTGTTTTTATTAATCTTCTATAGAATTTAGGTGCCCCTTAATGGGAAAAACCCATAGATTGCCCTTTAACTTTATGAGTGTGTGGAACTTTACCCCTCACCTTACAATATGTGATTTTAGACCCTCCTGGTATTCAAGTTTATGATAATGAAGCAATATTTAATGTTGAGGGATCACGTGCAGCACGTGCGTCGTTAATTTCCTTCATACATGTACAGGTTAGAAACATATGAGCCTTTTTTTACATGTTGGCAGTTTGATGAGCTAATTCCACTCTAGCAAGTGTACTAGTCCGTTCAAGTAATATAATGATGAAAATAGAGTATCGTCCCATAGAGACCGTAGACTAATTAAGTACCAAAATTAATGAATTCTAATTTTATTTGAACAATTGAAATTAAATTATTTGAATAAATTAAATAACTAAACTAGTTAAAGAAAAACTAAATTAACTTTGAGTAACACCAAGAATTAAAAGTCTAAGGCATCCGACTTCACCATCATCAACTAATATAGAATTTAGATCAATATACTTCCAAGGTATTTATTATTCATGTGACATCGGGATTTCCTATTTTATTCGATATACTTTTTCAAGTTATACCAAACCTATCTTCACCTATTAACCCACTATATCTCTATGTGAATTTAAATAGATAAAAATGCATTATATTCTATGAAATTCCCTAGTTTACATAGAAAATTAAGTCCACTTATCACTAATGCTGCACAAATCACGTTGGTCCATCTCTGGCTTTCGTTCAATTCATGGTATATATTACTAAAAGCTATTGCATAAAATCTCCTCTCGGTCTCAATTATGCTCTTTAAATCAGTTTTAATGGTGGCCAATCATCAAAAAGCATTAAGAACAATAATATATACTCTATATGAAATAATAACCCTTAAAAATATAAAAATCATGAAATTCTATATTAAATTGATCAGGCTATATCGTAGCATTAGATGGCAAAATTAGTTCATACTAAACATGGTAAAATCTGAGATTAAATTGATGAACCACAATTCCATATCCAAACAAAGGAAAAATAAATCTAGAAGAGCAAAAACCCAATTTGTAGAACTCAGATCTGTAGCCTGAAGTGTCCCAGCGGCTGCCCATGCATCTGCCGTCACTCGCACAGAATCCGCGCAAGCTCTGCCTCAAACTCACCTTCAAACTCTCTGCCGGCTGCTTCTCTGATTTCTTCTCAGAAGTCCTCCCCCCCGAAATCTTCAGCAGCTGCCCCTTTTTATATTCAACAATGTGCTCTCCTTTTAAAACTCTGTGTGCCCTTTCTCTTTTAAAGCCCATCTTTATCTCCTTGTGGAGATAAAGCCCACCATGTTTTGCCACGTGTATGCAGAAGACAATTTCAATTATGGTCTTTGAATGGGAAAATGATGGAATCAGACTTGATGTTTTCAGCTTTTGTCACTTCAGCCCATTTACTCTAGATTTCTTTAGTTTTACCCTCTACCTACAAAGAATGATAAAAGCAATGTAAAACCAAATAAAATCGTTCCAATAAAATATAAAAGACTACAATTCATGACTAAAAAGCCATGTATAATTGTATGAAATTTAGGCTCATCACAATTCAACTTGAATTGCTCGTTAGCGAAAAACATACCACCAAACAATTTAATTATGGGCCCCACCCTTACTTTCGTCATTTGTTCTTTGCCCTTTTTCCCTATACAATCTTATTTCCATCTCTAGTTCCTTTCTTCCTCTTCCAACGCATATCTTCCTTGCCTCCTTCATCCTCTTCTTCTTCCTCATACAACCCATCGCCAGTGCATCTCTAATAAGGATTCAAGCACATCTTTCTCCTCCCTCTCCCTTTATTCCCCTTCCTTCCTTTCTCTCTCTTCTTGCTTCTTCCTCTCCATGCGAACAAAGGTTTTGGGTTCAATGGAACCTAGATCTAGGTTCCATCGAACCCAAATTGTTAGGTTCCATGAAACTCAGATATGAATTTGCCCAGATTTTTAGGTTATAGAATCCAATAACTTGGTTCAAGAAACTCATATTTCAAGGTTTCTCGAACCCAGATTTATAGATTATTTTTTTTAGCAACGACTGACAATCTATAGATGGGTTTTCCTTATGGAATTTTTTTTCAAATATTCTGGTTGTGGAATGGAAATTTAATATTATGAATTGTGCAAATTTTTGTTTATATGGATGATGAAATAAACTATGAAATTGTGAGTTTGAATGGAAAAAAGGACAAAAAGTGTGTCTAAAGAAATAAGAAGCGTGTCAGCGATCCAACTCCTCTCTAGCCATTGCTATGTTTTGGGTTTGGGTTTGGGTTTGGGTTTGGTTATGGTGGTGACTTAAGATCAACACCAGAGAACCACCAAGCGACACAATTGAAAGGAGAAGATGGCTATGAGATCTGGAAAAGTAGTATCTCTATGGATGGCACCTTCAAACCTTCAAAGATTTGGTTGCTAGACTCATGCTTCATTAGGAGAAATCGAGGGAAAATAGTGCAAGACAAAAGAGGGTATTGACAATGGTGGACAATTGAAGGCACAAGCACAACTCTCAAAGGGAAATCAATTGTTGTTCTATTAGGGTTTATAGTGGTGATGAATTAGAGAAGAAGGAGAGAGACAAAAAAAGGGAAAGGAAAAAGATGCTGAAGAGAAAGAGATCGGGGAGGAAGCAAGAAGTTGGATGGTAATTCAGAGTAGGGCCGACAATGAATGGAGATAAACATGAAGGATCCAAGTTGGTCCAACTAACATGTGAATAAAGTCCAATGTGGCACTAACAAAGACTAGTATGACAGAAGACTAGCGCACGTGCTGCACGTGATGCTCCCATGTTAAATTTTGCTTTATTTTCATAAACTTGAGAAATGGAAGGTAAAAAATCATAAGTTGTAAATTAAGGGTTAAAGTGCCTCATACTCGAAAAGTTGAAGGGCAAAGTGGGGGTTTTTGCCGCCCTTGATGCATGTCTTTTGGATTTACAGGGTTTACGTGAAACTTGTTGGGGAGACCGAAAGCCGGATTTGGATTTGAACTCACAACCCTTCACTACTATCTACGAGGGGCATGTGTAGTTTTTCGCCCGCTGTACTATTCTTGGATATGTCTCGATGTACTTGAAATCCTTCCAATTCGTTGCATATTTTAAAACAAATAAATAAATCCTTCTAATTCAATTTTGGGGTATACAAGATGTGTTCCATATATTAGATCCAAAATTTAAAACTTACAACACATCAAAGCTTGGATGGTTAGTTGTTTCCTGTCCAACTTTTGTATGCTGTGAAACTTTTTTTTTTTTTTTAGCGATTTTAATAACACATCCTTACACTAATTTAATGTATTTAAGTAAATTAATTTTTTAAATATTAATTTTAAATTTTAAATTTTAAATTTGATATATAAATTAACGTTTGTTTAAATGGATCTCAACACTTAGGATTATTCAACTGATCTTAATTGGATTTAAGTTGGCCTCCCAACCACAGATTTATGTTTCTTCTTTTATTGTTGCTATAGGTTTGATTCTTCTTTTCGAAGCTTATTTATCCTGGGATTTCTAATTGTAATTTCTTATTATGATTAATAAATCTTGTTTTTGGTAAAAATATTATATTTAAATTAAATAAAAGATATTAGTATTTATCAACTAGCACTGTAAAAAAATTAAGTGAAAAAATATTTAAAATTATGTCATTTAAATAAAGAATCACAAGAAGATTTTTTTTTTTTTTGATAGGAAATGGAGAAAACTATATTAAATAATAAGAAAATACAGAAGAAATCTCCATCGCGAGCATATAGCCTAAAACATTATAGCCTAAAAATAAAATCAAAAGCATAACCTATAGCACTAGTAGTATATTTAAACTATACATATGACGAATATAGATAATTAAGTAAAAAGAGCCATCTACAACTAAAGATTGCGAATGCAATCACTATATGGGTTAAATAAGGCTACAAATGTAGAAAAAAGAGTCACTATAAGCATCAAAGCTACTACACATCCTCAACTATTTAACCAGTTTCATTGGTAAAGCAAGGGATTCTGACAACAAACAATCCCCAACCTGCAAGTTACCACCCTATCTTTGCTTGAAAATTACCCAACAGGAGGAGGGGTAAGGACCCCCTTAGGACAAGCATGTGTCTTCACTTTACCAATCCTCCTCAATCCCTTGTTGCCCAAATTGTGTAAAGACACGAGGAGGGGTAAGGACCCCCTAGCACAAGCATGTGTCTTCGCTTTACCAATCCTCCTAAATCCCTTGCTACCCAAACTGTGAAAAGGAACTAGAGCCCCTTGCAAAACACAATCAACTTCACCAATGGCTTCCTATTCCTCTTTGCCAAGTCTCTGAACAAACACAAGCCTCCCCAATCTCCGTTGAGTACTTCCAATCATGTGCCCATCATTCCCAATCCTTTGAAAACCCTTGCTGGCGAAGCTTATTAAGGGAACTAGAACCCCTTTGCCTACTTGAGTAGCTTGCTTCCCGTGCAGATCAAAACCCAAAGTGCCAACAGCAGCCATGTCCTTCGATATTTGGCTGCCTAATCGAAAATTAGAGTGCGCTAGTTTCTCCGAATGCAACCCTCGCCAAGATCTCATCCGAGGAGACATGCCTAAGTGAAAATCTGACTCAGTGAATGGGAGAAATCCAACCACTGGCAAGGTCAAGTCCCTCAATATCGAGTCACAACCGTCAAAAATCAACAGTTGATAAGAGCCGCTACCTTGTGGTCCCTTGGATTGAAGTTTTCAAAACAAGACAGACGACGAGGATGAAAGAAGAGAGCAAGAGGAGAAACCCTTGTCGGAGAAGAAGATGACGAAGGAAGAACTCCTAACTGGAGAGAGACTTTAGGAAGAAACTTGTTGCCACCGCCCCCAACCATAGGTAGAGCACAGGAGTTATGAAGAAACCTAATCACAAGAAAATATTAAAACATTCTTGTTTTAAAAAATAAAATATTTTAGTTTTTTTAATGAAAATTAATTAAATTGATGTAGCTTTGATTATTTTTCTATTTAATTTTTTACAAGTACAACTTATAAACATTGTTCTTTAAATATAATAAACTCTAGTTTTTTTATGGTAAATTTTGATTTCTAAATATATTATTAGTTTCTAAAAATCAAAAATTAAAATCAAAAATCAAAATTCACAACCCAATTTAGATTTTTTTACTATGAAAATGTACATTACAATGTTCACATAACATCAAACAAATGGTATACAATATCACATGTCTCACATAAATTAAAAAGACCAAAAAAATTATGCCACATCATATAAGATTTCATTATCAAAAAAATTGTTAATAGAGTAATTTTTATCACATCTCAACTTAACAGTCTTATTTTTGTAGATGACGTGTCATTATGAATGTGATGCAACGTGGCAGAGCATGATAAATAAATTGCACATAAATATAGAGTTTTTTTTTTTTCTTCGTTCAAATATGGATAAATGGAGTTGAACAAAAATACCCTCTCACGATCATAATTTTGCATTAATACATGGGTACGGGTAAAATCTTACTTTTAGCTCCTCACCTTGTTAAGTTGAAAGGTTTTAACTATTCACCTTATATTATATCATTTTTAGCCTCTTATTTTACTGGATTTATAGGTTTTAACCCTCACCTTATACTATGACACTTTTAACCTTTTACCTATTAAATTGAAAAAAATAGTCTTCATTTTATACATTTTATTAGTTCTATCAGCTGATTGTTAACTCTATTAGCTGACTGTTAACTGTTAAAAACGTTTTTTCAGTTAACAAAATTAACAGAATTAATTTTATAATATTTCGTTAATTCTATCAATTGGTTATTAGTTGACTGTTAGCTGATAAAAGTCTACTTTCAACTAACAGAGTTAACAGTCAGTATAAAGTTAGGGTTATTTTTTTTTATTTTAATAAATAAGAGATTAAAACCTATAAATTTAATAAGATGAGGAGTTAAAAATATCATATTATAAAATAAAGGGTTAAAACTTTCAAACTTAATAAAGTGAGGTTACAAATAGGTTTTTGTCCATGAATACGCATATATGCCACACGCACGCGGTCATTGGAGCGCTGTCTTAATTAGTGAGAGAGAATCATTTGCAACTTGTAAGGCTTTGCAACCAACGGCCAGCGCATACGTGGTCGGCGACGCAGGGGGCATCACTTTTGTATTCATTATAGCTGATAGATTTATGCATTAATTTGGATGCAGAAGTTAGTTGCCCGTCTCAGCTTGTGGCCCAAATTAAATACAACCTTAATCCTTTGAAATCTTTTGGTGGTCATCAAGGTTATTGTTGCGGGTGTGAAATTGCGTCATGTATGTTGTACTCTCGTTTGTTTTTTTAGATGGATAAGTTGTTTTTGGGTTGATTTTTGCATATTTAAAGACTAATAATTTTTTTGAATAATTTTAAAAAATATATTCTTATATTAATTTAATATATTTAAAAAAATTAATTTTTTAAATATTAACCTTAAAACTTAAATCTCAAATATGATTTACAAGAAAATACATGTTTACCAGTACATTCATTCCTTAATTTTTGTACACCCCAATTAATGGAACATGGAA